TATTTCATTATAGAAGTATTACGTTCATTGGAGAAGAAAGTTCGTTTCAGTCATAAAGTATGAAAAATAGATTGAAGACGAAAGTAAATTTGTTTCTACGATGTCTTATTTAAAACGAATTATAAAGTAAGGTATCGACCTATGAGGTCTCAGTCGTAATGCAGGGTGCAGGTAACAAATTACAAATGATCATTAATATTTAATTTCAAAAGGTCATTAATATTTAAAAAAAAACAAAGTCGCTCATAAAATCATCCATAACTTGTTTCTTGACCTGATGTTTGTTAGTCGTTTATACCGCAATATTGGTTCAATTATTTGAAAGATTTCGAGCTACTCACCGCTGAAACCAGCGTGTAAATCAATGCTTTTTGGTGTACATGTACTACTGCATGTGCAGCAGAACATGTGTGTAGGTGTACATATTGGCAGTTAATAACAACTCCGGTAATTGAGGTGCATTAATGTTTGAATTTCATATCCTTCAAAATTAGGAATAAAATTAATTGCATGAGAATGGTTTAAGCAGTCGTTTTCATTTACTTAATCATTAATTTCATTGATCATTTACTTAATCATTCATTCACGCACTTAATTCATAATCTGGAGATGACATTTTATCGTCAGGACTGGTTCAGTGATTAATTTGTTAGACTTAATCATGTTCAAGGAAAAGATAATCAAAGAAATTTCCAAAATGTGAATAATAATTTAAAATTGATGACGTGTCAACATATTTATGATAAAATTATGATAAAATGTTGGTTTTGAATTATGAGTATAAGGTACCAACCAAGCAACCTAAAAAAACATATGAAAACAGTTTCTATAGTATAAGGGCAAGGAGAAAACCATCGATTTGTGTGTTTAATTTGGCAGCAAATATTACAGATTATTTGATCATAAACAATTCCATGAAAGACTGAAAAAGTTGTTTATGTATAATGACACGGTCATTTACACTCTTGTAAAAGACCGTGTCATTTACAAGAGTTGAAGCGAATGTCTGTTTAAGTGGGTTATTACAGTGAAGAAATTTTCCTCGCCATGCTAATCAATTTTTAGGACCTCAACATAGGAGTAATTTTCCAACGAACAAAAAAATAGAATTTTTGTATATATGTCGTTCAAAAAACAATTCAAAATCGAAATAAAAAATTTAAACCTTAGCTTGAAGCTCGCAGTATCAAAAGCAGCAAAAATGGCTGAAATTAAAATTCGAAGTGAAATATTCTCACGAATTTTGAGGGCCACCAAAAGGGGGCTCGCAAAATTAATTAGAAATAATCGTCTAAAAATTAATAAGAAATCGGTCGTCTAAAATAAAATACAGACAAGGCATTTATTTCCGCCGGCTGAAACATTTTCTACAGTTAATTGACAATACAGGCTCTGGGCAAAAATATTGCATGACTTACTTAAAATTCATACGCCCGATGTTGATTCAAAATTATTCAGTCTAATTCACTTCTAGTTTTAAATTCCGATCAATTACTTCCGTTCGAAATACTCCAAATTAAAAGCCTGCAAAATTTTCGGGACTATTTTTCTAACAATTAACCAAGAATAAATGAAGACAATTCTTTCACGGTCGTTGACCGCTCATGGGAGTATACCGATGTTCGTAAGCCAACCATAGATTCGTTGGATGTAGAGAATCTGTTCGGTCTCATACGGAAACAACAATGTTTAGTATAAGAATTTCCAGTTACTTATCACTTACCCCCTTTTCACAAGATTATATTCAGTATAACAATACTTATAGCTTCTTCTCCATTCCCGCTGCTTTATTCAATGCGACGAGTGAGGTTATTTCTTCCTAAGCATATTTTATGTGTTTTTGAATGGTTAGTTAGTTAGTTTAGTGGCCACAGGTTTACTAGCGCTTCAACTATTTAGCTATCTCGCACCGAAAGTAATTTTGAACATCACCAAAGAGGTGGAAGGTCTCAATTATCAAAAATAGGTCATCACCCACAAGGGGTGGAAGGTCTCAGATGTCCAGCCCGCTGAAGCTGGCTCGAAAGAAGCAGCGTTAGCATCTCAAAGAGACGAAGTGACAAGGAGGGACAGGTGAAAAGTAACAGAAACGAAGACACTCGAACAAGAGGTCGCTTACACGGGACGTCGGCCGCCCGCACGAGAGAGACAGAGAAGGGAAATGTTAGGAATCCTACCTACATAATAACTTAATGTAAGAAGTTCTACCTACATAATAACCCACAACCGAGATCTGCAGTCAGACACCGCGAGCTCAGCGGTGGGGCGCTCGCTCAGGAACAATCCCCCTAGGAACGCGAAATCCCATAGGACTTCTGACGTGCACAGACACGCGTCAGAAGCCCCCCTGAGGGGGTTTTTGAATGGGATATGTATATGCAGATAAAACATAATTACATATTGTGTTTAAAATAGATGCAAAAGAGTAGCTGATTCAACTTGAATAAAAAATGTGAATTGTTCATATAAACTAATTTTTCAAAATTTTAAATCTGAAGTATGTTTTATGCTCCTACACATTAGAATTTTGCTCGTAAACATCAATATTTACATTCATGCCTCATTACTGCACTCATGAACTTCAGCTTCCACTCGTGCACTTTAAAATTACAACTTCTACCACTCAAACTCCACCGTCACATTGCACTCTTGACATCAACATGGCTGACCAACACGGCAATATGTTTCACTCCTGCATCTTTCATCAAACTCCAAGAAACATTACAGGCTTGCCCGACCAAAAAGCCAAGCTCTTTAACCATTAACATTTCACTCCCAAGTTCAACAAGCCTTTCTGTTCCAGGAACCTCATCATTTACGATCGACGTGGCCTATTACGTGGCTTTCTTCAGTGCCGGCACTTCTATTAAATTATATTCTAATACTTCACACGAAGATCCATTATGAACTTTCATTGCGACGATCCATTATGAATTTTCCATTATGAATTCACCACTTGGGCACATAAATCAATAAATAATTTTTAGGTACTTCTACTTCTACTTCACTCTGTTCTTAGTACACGTTCTACGTCGTCTTCAGGTACTTCTACTTCTACTTCACTCTGTTCATAGTACACGTTCTACGTCGTCTTCAGGTACTTCTACTTCTACTTCACTCTGTTCATAGTACACGTTCTACGTCGTCTTCAGGTACTTATACTTCACTCTTCTTCCATTCCTTTTACAAGTTCTACGTCGTCTTCAGGTACTTCTACTTCTACTTCACTTTACTTCCATTCATTAGTACATGTTCTACGACATCTTCAGGTACTTCTACTTCACTTTACTTCCATTCCTTGTACATATTCTATATCGTCTATGGGTATTTCTATTTCACTCTACTTCCATTCCTTAGTACATGCTCTACATCGTCTTCAGGTTCTTCTACTTCACTCATCTACTTCCATTCTTTAGTACACGTTATATGTCGCATACAACTTCTTCTACTTCACTCTACTTCCATTCTTTAGTACACGTTCTACTTGGTCTTCAGGTACAGCACCTCAGGTACGAGTAACCATTTTGTATCACTCTACTGTCACCCGATAATATTTTCATTCTTCCAGTGAATATTCCTTTCATGTTTCTCTGATGATCATCTTATATTCCTCATAAGTTCCTCTTATGTTCATGTCATGAAAATAATTCTTCCCGTTGTCCATCGGCCTGAATTAAATGCTCCTTTGCTTGTACTGTACGCGCTTCATTAGCATGTTAATAACTAACAAAGTATTGGTACGTCAAACACACTAGTAATCTCATGCATCAATTTCTATTCTTTTTCTTTCAATAAAAAAATTATCAAGTAAAGTATCTTTCAATTTCTTCTTTGCTACTTGTACAGATATTCGAACTCGGCGAAATACATCTTTCGCGAACACGCTGACTGATCGTCATCTGGTTAAGAAATTTTTCATGAATGAAAGTCCTTGCTAAATAGGAGCAAACGAAGGACAGTTCAATGCCCCGGATTTCAACCTCCTCCAGGCCAGACTCATGAACGATATCTCAAAAATCAGATTTTGATTTCGCAAAGATTCTGAAAAACGAAATTCCCAACTTGTCCATTTGTTATTTGCTTACATCAATAAATAATTTCACCTCCACAAGTGAGAAACACGGTAAGTTTCCGGCATTCTGGGACATAGGTTTCAATAGTGTTTAGTGGCAAACATTGACGACATTTAATGGAACTTTCTACCTGTACTACGATAACAGAACCTTAGTGCCGTGAAGCCAGTGGTGAGGATGCTTGGTATGATCAACCGACTTGAGCCAAAAGTAAAGACCATTTGTCAACTGTGGTTTGAAGGATTGAAGGCCCCTATTTTCGCTATAAAGTGTTGTAACTAAGGTACAAGTATGTTTGGAACAGCAAGTGGATGAATAGTAAAAATGGACTCGTGCAACCATGTCAAAAAAATTGACTCTTGCAACCATCTTGGCATGTCAAATTCCAGTTGGAATATCGCCATCATGTGCCAGAATCTGTGTCTCTATTTGAGCAGCCGTGTGATATGGCTGTCACTAATCTAAGGGTAATTAACAACGTACCTGAAAACGGAAGGAAAGGCGAATTCACCGTTTGCCTCAATTGCCTTGATTTCCTGAACACAAATTTTTGTGTGAGGCCAGCGGTTCGAGACGTTGCACCACATTGTTGCCGAGAAAATATTCCTTAATGAGCTGGAAATTCTGATTCAGAACATCCACAGAACAATCTATGTAAACCATAGATTGTTCTGTCACCACAATAATAACATATACTTTAATACAATAATACATACTTTATCACCTGAGTAACTGCATGACTTCTTATTTTTAACGAGGTAAAAAAGGTTCCTCATTTTCGAGACGTAAGCAAAGTTTCAAACAAAATATTTACTAGCGAACTGATTTCCTTACTCGCGCAAAATGCCGCTAATGTAAACCTTTTTGCTCACCACAATATTCCGCTGATATTGCCCTGTTTGTGCAGGTATTCGACCACAACCGAGTACGCGCCTACCAACACGATGACCGACCATCTTATGCTGCAAAAGATCATCATGAGAGGAGGTCCTTTGATATCAGGGACTACAGATGGGCAACCCAATGTCACGACGGAGTTCGACCTTCTCGAGGCTGAACCTCTGGTCGACAACTCGCCCCTTCTCTCTGACTCAGACTTAGCCAAGAATTTGCAGAATGAAGTTCCTAATTTACCAATACGGTACTGGCAAACCTTGAACAACAAATTTCCTGCCATGAATAAAACTTGCGCAAAGTTCCCTACCCTCTGGGATATAAGATTCAATAATGTTTACTGGCAAACTTTGAGAACCTCGAACGGAACTTTCTACCTGTACGGAGCGTACTACGACAACAGAACCTTAGTGGACATGAAACCCGTGGTAAGGATGCTCGGTATGATCAACCGACTTGAGCCAAAAGTAAAGACCATTTGTCAACTGTGGTTCGAGGGATTGAAGGCCCCTGTTTTCGCTAAGGTGTTCGAGTACAAGTTTATTTGGAACAGCAAGTGGGGTAATAAGAAAAATGGACTCCTGCAACCCTACCTGGTGTCATGTCAAATTCCTGTTGGGTTTCGTCATCTTGTGCCAGAATCGGTGTCTCTAGTTGAGCAGCCGTGTGACATGGCTGTCACTCTTTTAAGGGTAATTAATAACGTATCTGAAAACGGAAAGAAAGGTGAATTCGCCGTTTGCGTGAAGGGCCTCGATTTCCTGAAAGAAGATTTGAGTGTGAAGCTAGTGGAGTGGTTCGAGACATTGCGCCACCTTGGTGCCGAAAAGATCTTCCTTTATGAGCTGGAAGTTCATCCAAACATAACAAAAGTTCTGAACTATTATAGTGAACTTGGATTGCTAGACGTGACGCCAATTACACTCCCTGGCTACCAACCTAACATCAAAGGTCTCATCCACATGTACTTAAAGAACAAACTAACCAACAAACGTCAAAACGAGCTGATACCTTACAACGACTGCCTCTACAAAAACATGTACAGATACAACTATATAGCACTACTAGACATTGACGAGGTTATCATGCCTAAAGGAAATAACATGCTGTGGAAAGACCTCATGGACAACGTTTTAGCGAAGGCACTGAGAGTAAAAAAGGTAGAACGTGCGTCGTACAATGTTCGCAATGTCTACTTTTTCGACAGTCCTCAATCGAGCGATGTTGGTCACGTACACTTCAAAGACATACCTCAGTACATGCATATGTTCCAACATGTGTACCGAGCCAAGAACTACACCAAACCAGGTGCTTACATAAAGTGTTTCCATAATCCAGAACGAGTGTTAACTTTACACAACCATTTTCCTCTTGCTTGCTTAGGTGGGGCTTGTTCGTCTTTCCCCATAGACACCGAAGACGCTCAACTTCAGCACTATCGCGCAGACTGCGTGGGAGATCTCAAGAAATCTTGTGCTGATTACAAGAACTCCACTGTGCGTGACGACACAATTTGGAGGCATAAGGACCCCGTCATATCCAGAGTTACTTATGTCCTCAAAAATCTACGGTTTTTCAACCGAGCTTCCGCAGTCAGGTTCAAAATTAACGCACCGTAGAAAAGTAAGAAGAAGAAAGTTTCTTAATCTTCACAGCATTCGGTCGCGTAATTAACCTACTGAATTGAGGAGAGATGGTCTTCAATATTGATACAATTCTGACAAGCGGAGTCTCCGTTTTTTTCAATTCCGATGCTTCTCGTCAGGTTGTGAAAACGTCTTTCTATATTTGAATGTGATCCGTTTCCGGTGCCATTGGACAACTTTGATCTCACGTTTGTATTATTCACGTGAAGTCACGGACGGACAGACAGACAGACGGACGTACGGACATGGCGAGCACATTATGGTATTTTTTCCATAAATGAGAAAATGCGCTAAAAAGTGTCCTAATCGTCACAACCTTACTTTACTACCGTTAAAATTCGATCCTGTAATTAACTTAGCGAATTGCAAAGCTATCGACAATCCTTTCAAACGAGGTCTGATTTTTTTCAATTCCGATACGTCTCGTCAGGTTTTGAAAACGTTTTCCTATATTTGAATGTGAAACGTTTTCGTTGGCATTGGACAACTTTGATCTCACGTTTGTATTATTCCTTATTGATAATTTAAAATACATATATTTCAATAATTTCAGGTCTTGTATGTCTGCAATTCGCAATCTATAGCATTTTGGCAAGCAAACTTGGCAATACAGTTGCTGGACGTTCATGAATTGATAATTTAATTTTATTTTTGTTGGGATGATAAACTAATACGATTTCCCTTATGTCAGTAAACAAACTCAGTCAATACCTGAAATTATCGCTCGTAGGACTGTCGCAAACTTATGTCTTATTACGTACCACCAGCATAACTTTCGAACGGACTTGGGAGGCGCTTCGTAATTGACAGCAGCATCACAGAAGGTTCAAGATAAATTCGAAGTTTTAAACTTCGCTGGGGCTGTAATAAAAATAATTGTTGAACCTGGATCTTATCGTGATGTCTTGGTTGAAAAAGAAACTTAAATGTAATCAAGAATACTACTGAAAATGCCTTTATACTAGTGGCACGTATAGTGGCATATGCTGGAACTGTCAAATACATTATTACCTCCAAGCACTACATATTACCGCGCTATTGGCCTAGTGAACCACTAGTATATAGTACCTATTTACGATGTCAGCAGCATGATAATTGGTGGCGGCTACGGCAACTATTGAATACTCACATATCATTTTTGTATGCAATTTCACATCTAGAAGATGGTGAACGTATTTTTCGGGATTTGGCTCGACCGTTGATTGTTCAACCATCGATTAAAAATGATAGGTTATAGGCATAGTTGAGTGTAAAATGCTTTCTGAACGAGATAGCATTCTTTGCTTCAACTTTTCACTGCCATTCATCAATGATCATCATACGCAAGATACTCAAAGATGAGACCCGAAACAATGATGAATTTCGGAACTGTTTATCGCAGAGCATATATTGCCATGCACAACCATGCCTCAGAAATCCCAGTGTTGAGGATTCGGCGGAATGCTGACGGCAACCTTTATTTCAATCTATTAATAATTACAAGTAGTTAGCCATCAACATTTCCTGCCTGTGAACGTTGATATTGTTAGTACTTAACAAAGTTGGAACACATTACTCGTAAGATAATGCCATATTAAATTAATGGAGAATTGAAAGTATAATTTGTGTGTTCAGAAATATATTATAATGGCGTTTCTGTCCAGACTGTTGGAGTGTATATACTTGTGCTTGACACTCGCCCTGCAGTACGGGATAGAGCAGCTAGTTCAGATATACGTGTACTATTAAGAATTATCCTAGATTATGTTCCATTTATGAAGGGATTTTATCATGTGAGATATAAAATAAAAGCGTTTTCTCTAGGCCATCTGCATACTACTTTCCTGTTGATTACGATCATTGAAATAAGGAACGCTGATTGATTATTTGATTATATCAAGTGCATATACATCACTAGCATATCACATGCTGGTATATCCTGTATTTGATTTTGTAATGCTTAATTATGATTAGACTAATTATTATATTATATAAGTCAGCTCATTTAGCAAATTATTCCTGTTTGTAAAATGGCAGTTTTTTTTCATCCTGTTAATTTCTGTTAATCATGTGTTAATCAATCTTTTAAAAATCATGTGTTCAACTTTACCAATAATTTTTTTAAGAATTTTACAGTATGCTAATTATGTGCAATTGTGTACATTAAAATTGTCAGCGGTTCATAGGATTGCTCAGATTTGTTGATTAAGAGTTAAAATGTGATGAGGTGTACAATTTAAGGCTAAACATTATATTGCGGGAAATTTTCAGAGCTTATCCAGGCCTATCGAGGCCTATTTTTAAAGAATATACAATACTATTGTGAGGGCGAAAGAGGCCTGTGATCGATAGGACTGCAGGACCGGAAGTTTAAATATCTGGAGGTGCTCAGTATGAAACTTATGATGTTAACAAGCTTGTTAATGGTGCTTTTTTGTATAATGACACATGTTATATGATGACGCTTGGTATACAATGACGCTTGTTATATAATGATGCTTGAGGGGATGCGAGAGACTGTCTTTACATACACAACATTCATCACACATGGGGATGCGAGAGACTGTCTTTACATACACAACATTCATCACACATGGGTATGCGAGAGACCGCCTTTACTATACACAACATTCATCACACCATGGGTATCGAGTGCACTTACTGTGCACACAGAATTTGTTCAATTATAGAATAAGAAACTGCCGAGTTCCGATTGTGATTTCTGAAGACTCGAGTGCGGTCTTTTTTTATGCCTTTCGTTTAATGCAGTTAGGTCCCTTCTTCGATGTCATTCGGTGTCATTCTGCCTTTTTCTTCGAGAATTGCTTTCAGAGTCTTGGTTTTTAAGTTCTCTTCATTTCAAACCTGAGCTCTATTTCAGCATTAGCTTGAATAACATCCTTTGACCCTACTAAATACTTTTTGCTACTAAACATTTCCTTTACCCCAGCATTCTTTATTTCACGTCATTTTCCCACGGATTCGTGACCTATCTTCACACTTTCGTTGTATTCAGTTATATATAGGGTAACATGGGGCAGCGCCTCCCCCCCCCCCATTTTTTTAAACTAAATTTTTGATAAAATTTCAATTGATACGAGGTAGTTCTTTGTTTTGTTTGAAGGTACAACTAATGAGGAATATATGATGTGAATTAGACGTCTATAGAGTTATTTAATTTTTAATGAAACACTAGTTTGTAAAAAGTGTCATTGCCCCACCCCTGGGGCAATGGGCCCATGGGCCTGGGGCAAGGCGTCCACCCCTGGTCCCTTTACCACAAATGCATATTTTTTGTTTGAAAATGATAAAACAAGACTTTCCAGTTTAAAATAAGAAAAATGTAATAAAAAAATATTACATTCATTCATTAATTAACAACATTAAAAATCATATCCTTAACTTGAAAAAAATATATTCTTGCCTTAAAAATCTATCTCTAACGTGAAAAAAAAATATTTCCCTGACATAAAAATATATATCCTTGGCTTGAAAAATATATCCTTGCCATAAAAAATTTATCCATGACATGAAAAAATGTTTCCTTGACTAGCAAAAATATATTTACTTGATCACAAAAAAACTTCGTTCCAGTTTCGTCCATAATCCAGATATTATGTAAAGAGAATTCGTACCTAATCGTGATTTAAGCTAACACCATAAAAATTCACCAACTTTTGGCTCATTGGTGTTGGCTTAAATCAACTTTTGACAAGGCAAGAGTCGATAACTCGGTAAGGGGTCATAAATACGCACAACTAGAAACTAAACCTGCTGCTTTGCGGCGGCAACTCCAAAAAAAAATCATGCAATATGAAGTGTAATTTGCAATTTAAAAAGCTAGTAATAATTTTAAGAAGCTCATTGAGGCAAATCTAATGATGTATAACACAAGACTTCACGTACAGAGGGGCATGGGCCCGTTGCCCCACTAGGTATCACTTCAATTTATATCAGTGGTTCCCAAAGTGGGCGATATCGCCCCCCTAGGGGCGGTGGAAAGATTTTGGGGGGCGATAAAGAAGAAGAGGGCGTTTGGGGGGCGATAGGGGGGCGGCAGTCCGAAGTCGAAGTCAGAAGTTCGAACGTTTGTTTGACGATTTGTACACAACAATATCGCAATATAACTCACGAATGAAAGTGATATTTAAAAAATTTTCGCAAGCTAAACGTAACCGTTAAGTTCTGATGAATACATGTTCCAAGTTTTATTGAGCTGCGTTCATTAGTTTGGGTGATATTCCTTGATAACTGAATTTGGGATTGGTCGTGAGACCGGCCACTAGTCCGGCCGTAAATTTGCCCGAGACGTCCTAAGTTTCTTGTGCTGAAACAGTTACAACAGCTGAAAAACATAGTGGTTCACCAAATGGGGTTCTATTTGTGAAATACACATTTGTGTTTAACCTTTATCTTTAAAAATTGCAGCGTACTAAATTTCAAGAAAGAGGCGTATGTTGTTATATGTCTGTGGGGGGCGCTAGAAATTCATTAGGGAGCCAAAGGGGGCGCCAGCCGGAAAAAGTTTGGGAACCACTGATTTATATCGTGTCAACATTTTATTTTATAAGCAAATAGTCTAAACTTGAACTCAAAATTATCCCTGTAAATAATACTTTCTAAATACAGGGTATGGCAGAACCGATTGAGCAGTTTTGAGGCGAAATAAAAGAGTAATGGAAGTACATAAAGAAGAAAATTTATTTTCCTCGAGGTTAGCATAACACACCATTTAGAATACTTTTGTTTTGAAAATAATATCAGGAAGATGGTGGCCGTTAGCTGCAACACACTGTTGGAGTCGTTCTCGTACTTATATTCCTAAAAACAAGGCGATCCATTCAGTATTGAAAGAATTATGAATTGGCGAGTTGCTCCAACATTTCATTTTTCTGTATTCATCAAAAATGAATCAAAGTAAAAATCTGCAATAATTACTATCGCAGCATATTGGTAATACCTACTTAAATTTCAAATTTCAAACAAATTCGTTCGATATTAAAAAAATTGTGACTGGGCGAGCAGCCCCATTATTGAGTTTTTCCATAGTAATAAAAAACAAACTGATGTAAAAATATCTGCAATAATTCCTATCGCAGCGCATTGCTAATACCTACTTATATTCCAAATTTCAATCTGATTTATTTGTTATTAGAAAAATTATGACTGGGGACTTGCTCAAACATTGC